AGGGGTAGATAGTACGCATGATTTCCACAAACTGACTAACCAGATGAAAAATTTGCAAGGAGTCCTACCGAGGATGACCAGTGACAATAATCAGTGACAATGGGGCATAAGGCCTCTTCTTTGCATGGGCACGCAGAAAACTGTGGCTGAGGGAAAGTGTTGGTGTGCTCTCCCTGAGGGGCCTCTCTTGAAGGTGTCCCACTGGTTGTACGGCGGTGAAGCACTAGTGGGAAGAACCATTCAAGTATGGGACAATATCCTATAAAATAGAGTGACTCTGAAGGGGCATTTCCAAAAAAAATGAAGTTCTCCTGTACCGCACCGTGTACAGGAATATATTAGTGGTAAATGTCGACAGCCAAGTGCCGTTTCTTCGAGAAGAACGTCCTATTGAATCGTGGAAAGGAAGCATTTTTCCTAGGAAGCTAAAGATTAGGAATCTGATGCCCACCAACCGCATGGCAGAGTCATAACTGTTAATTTAACTGAGCGCTCGCATGCAGCGTCTCAGGGCTCCGATCTAGGGGGCGGGCAGCAGCTGTCAACCGGACCTGAGCAGTATCTCGGAAATCCCGAGTTTAAATGTCTTCTACGCGTCGCACCCTCAATGGCGCTTATTCATCCAAGCTATTGTCTTCAATGCATAACTCCCTTCCCAATCCCCCCACTTAACAGTCCACCCACAGTTCTGTATTTACGCACTAATTTACCAGCTCCCGCCTCCAATGCGCGGTTACCTACCCCCCCCCTCAAAATCATCGGTGAACGAAACTGCGGCAGCTACAACCACTGTACGACGAGTACGCGGTTATTACAGCTGACAATGACGATGATGATGAACGCCCTTCCGGTGTCTAGCTGCCATGCTATCCGAAAAAAGCACGAGGGCTGGGATGCTGCCAGGTTGCCCAAGCCTAGACTGGCAAGGTCGAATGTTCCATAGCCTTGAATGACTTGACGACTCAAGCCACATGCTACCCGCCAAAAACTTGACCTCAAGCAGTTGGACCGGAAAAGCCTACTATTCCTATTTGTGACCCTACGCTCGCAACACCCGGAGGTGCCACTGCACAAACAAGTTCACGCGAGGACCTTCTGCAACGCTATGCACCACCATTCGCCGATGAAATTGGACGGTACACAAAAGCGGATCCCAGATTGTGTCTCCTCCCCAATGGTAGATCAATTTTCAGACCGGCGTTCAGTGTCATTGCACACATGCCCACAAACTGGGCCAACAACAGAAGGCTGGTGTCCCTGACGGACCAACTACTGCGTATCGGTAGAATCGATCGTGATGGTGAAGAAAGCTAATGGAGTCATCCGATTATGTACAGACTCCTGGATACGCATCAGTAACCTCTGATTCCTCCAGACAACCTGTTCGAAGGAATGAGAGTGGGTAAATGTTTCACAAAGATTGAGATGGCTGAGGCTTACCCGCAGGTTGAATCCAGGATGTATCCTGAGACATTTTAACCATTAATAGGCATCGTCATCTGCTTCAGTATACCCGCAGCCGTTTGGTATCAAGATGGTGCCAGCCGTGTTTCAAAAAAATCATGCAGACGATGCTGAAGGACGCTCCAGTGTTGCCACCTATTTGGATGATCTCGTCATGGGTTTCAACCCCAACGAATTGTGACATTGCTAAGACGGTCATGTCCTAACGAACAATCCTACCCTTTGTAATATTTCACTGGGATTTCATTTTCTATCTCTTGTAGTCAACTGAGCCACAGCGTTCTTTTCCCCATTGGTTCATCCGCAATATAGCCGATCTTCATCTGGTGTCCTTTGTCTTCTTCCTTGAGGTTTTCCCACTCAAGTAACTATCAACGTGACAGAAATTGCATCAAGCTCCTAAATCACTCAACTAGCACCCGCGACTCAACAGATATCGCCTGGATAACACACTCGACTGTAGTCAAAACTATCATCACCATCATCAACGATGACAGCAACATTAGTGCTGACACTGATGCATCACTACCACAAAACCATAAAGTTCACCTAACTATATTTAAAGTCTTAGAGTGAAAAGAAGAGAAATGGTGAGTAGGGGAGGGGACCTGGTGCTAGCCTGTCGCAGGCATTCAGAGGTGCCTACACCTCCAAGAGCTCAACCGGACAATCTGGAAAGCTGTCAGCGAGTTCGCCACTCACATCCATCAACCACCATTTATTGCAACGCTTCCAGCCAAGCGCAGGTGGGGCAACGGGGATACCATCCTAGGAGACGTACAACACTAACAACAACCAAACTCCTTGGAATCTCATTCACACCGTTCTCCTAGCATACTTGTCCACCTCACAGATTGCGCCACTCTGAAGGCGGCACTGAAAACAACACTCGTCTCGTTAGTCGGTGTTCCGGCATGCGTTGAACATGACCGAGCCGACGCAGCCACAATTAAAGTTCATGCTGCACAACCAAATACCGATCAACTAACCACCTCGTTACTAATTTGTTGATACAATTGTTGTGTTTGACGAGGAACGGAGTGCGGCGAATTTAAAGGGCTGAGTGCCAAGAAACTAGGCTTTATTCATCTAAGACTTTGGCACGAGAAATTATTTGGTAATGAACGACAAAACGCTTCGAGACCACACAGAAAATATACAACAGCCATCCAAAACCAGTAACAATTCCGCGGCATCAGTGCATAAAAACCTGAAGACATCTCACACCATCCGTCTGCAGAGGTCACATCTCGCAGCCATACAAGGAAACATCCCTTACTGTAGCCTTGTACATGCTAACCTGGAGACCAAGTGATAGGTTTTCGACGCCACCAGTGACGCAAATTAGCAAACGTGGGCCTTGGGGATTCTTGCACTCACTTCATAAGACACATCTCCATAAGAGTTAATACAACAACGGAGGCTTGTAAAATCCTCCACAATCTCCAGTGATTCTTGAATTGTAAGACGTATATTCAAGCATGACTTTGCACTTTGAAGGTATCAGGCATAAGGCCAAAAGATGACATTATGATGGTAAGTTTATTCAGCATGGTTTGTGTTTGCCTTGATCGTCACAGATGAGGGCGATGTCATCTGCGTACTCCAGATCAATAGGCCTCTCACCAAAAAACGAATTGAACACTTTTGTAGACCTTCCAGCGTTCACCTCATTATTTTGTCAATGACGAAGATGAAAAAACGGAGTGAGCGGACACCTTTATTGGAGATCACTTTTTGTGGGAAAGCTTTCGGATAGTCCACCATACACTCCCACGCGCCCAGCAGTATGTGAATATAGGGATCTGATTATGTTGACAAGCTTCTGGGGAATATTACGATGAGTAAGAGCAATTAGAAGCATAGATCGATCGATGGAACCGAACGCACCCTTGAATTCAAGGAAGACTAAGATTTCGGGTCGTCTCTACATGTTGCATTGCTCTAGCACCTGATGGAGTATGAAGATTGAGTCACCTGGTCGAAATCCCGCTCAATGCTCACGGTTCGAGGGTCCGCAAGCTATTTCAAGACGAAAAAGAATCAGTGACGTCAGAAGCATGGCTACAACAGGAGTCAAACTAGCACTTCTGTAGTTACTACATTCAATGCGAGTATCCTTTTTGAAAATGAGCACTATTATCGATTCACCTCAGTTACCTAAGATGGTCGCTTTCCCCCAAAATTAGCTAGACAAGCACTGGCTGAGAAATCCATAGCCGTCCTTGAACGCAGCAGGTGAAACTCACGACCAGCAGCCAGATGATGCGTGAGTGGATGTATACACTTGGACATTTCTGAAGTTTAAGGCGGTTCCATATTCCCAATCCAACTTCTGTTGAAGGATTGGAGGTAAAAAGTGGCCAACTGATTTGCTGTTCGAATTACTGTGCTGAGTGGTCCAAACACTCTGCTTCGGTGGATATCAGGGAGCCATTTTGGTCCCTGGTTATTTTCTAGAACCAGTCGAATGAATCAAGTAGAAGAGACTGCGGACGCTCCCAGCGTTTTTCATCTCCAGTTTCTTCGGCCTGCAAGCATCACGTTTGGGTTTGATACGACCAAATCTTGTAGCAGCATTTTGCACTTTGCAGGTGCGAAGCGCATGCCAAACCGTGTGGAGCCTTCTGCATTTGCGAAGTATCTGAACAAAGGGGAGCAACATCACCTGCATACTCAACGTCTGTGAGCAAACTTCTCGGTAGGTTTCGGAGACAGGCAGAGCAGCATATCAACAACAAAGTTGAAGAGGAAAGGTGAGAGAGAGCAACCTTGTCCTGTACGAATGGACGTGATGAACTCACGAGAAAGTCTGCTATATACTCGTAGGCACCCACAGGAGTTCGCATAAGGAATATAAATTTGAAATGAAACACCTTTGATCGCCATACATTGCCAATTTTTTTGAATATCGACAGAAATTCCAGAAACTTATAACCGCTTACCGTCTTCTGTTTCTCAACTGATGCAGCCGCGGCCTCACTTACGGAGTTCACATTCGACTCTCTTTCTGGTCACACATTTGACTCCTGGTTCAAGCGGTACGAAGGCATGTTCAAGACTGATTTTTCCAAATTTGATGATGGATGGAAAGTCAAACTATTGCTGCGAAAACTCGGCACACCGGAGCATGAACGGTTCACATATTTCATTCTCCCCAAGCTGCCCCGCGACCTAAGCTTTGATGAAACGGTCAGAACACTGTCCCAGATATTCGGCGATCAAATATCACTGTTCAATATCCGATACCAATGCCTAAAGTTGGTCAAGAAAGATGATGATGATTTCATCACGTTTACCGGTGTTGTCAATAGAGAATGCGAGCGCTTCAAGCTCAGCTCGATGACGGAGAATCAGTTTAAGTGCCTCATTTTTGTATCCGGTCTCCAGTCATCCCATGATGCTGATATCAGAACCCGGCTTCTTAACAGAATTGAACAGGATGCCGAAATGACGTTGCAGAGCCTCACCACTGAATGCCAACGCCTCATCAACCTGAAGCACGACACGGCTATGATCGGTCAGTCACCTGTGACCTCAAGCAGCTGTGTACAGGCAATCAACTACAG